GAGAGAGAGAGAGAGAGAGAGAAAAGTCCATTCAAAACATTCCTGTGGGTAAGTGAGAATAAAAGACTTTCTTCTCAAATCATTTATAACCATCACACTCATTTTATTGTTCAAACTAAAGCTGATATGCATTTCTACTGCATAATAGATCCAGTGGTGAAAAAAAGATAGATCCCAAATAGGCACAAAGATCTTTGTTTCTTAGTTCAATTAAACAGCATAATTCTTCATATTATAATCACACATCATCACTCTTAATATCTACATGTTTGCTCTTTAAGCATTTTTTGTTTTCGTCACAGTTACTTACTAGTTCCCTAAGTAACTGATCACTTGCTTGGTCAGTGAAATTTCAAAAATATGAAAAATGTTCATTTCCAAAAACGACTTCTACAAATGTCTTTATTTGAAAATCTGTGTGATTTGAATAGTCTAATTTAGTCATGCTATTTAACAATCCTGTCATAAAAAAATTCAATTTTGTAAGTATATTCCCATGAATGAGACATTCCAGCCCTGATATGAGCACATGGAAACACGAGCGGCATTTTCTCCCCACACCGTATATAGAGATAATACAATAATCCAGAGGTTGGGAGCCACGTGTGTTTACTGCAGGTGGGAGCCTCTGATAAACGACAGGGTCTCTGCGCTGTAAAAAATACTGCCTTCACCCCTTTCATATGCATATTAACGCCTCCGAAAAACTAATATATTTTCTGCATGTTTCCCCATGTGGTGGTAAGGACTTGTATTTGCATGTGTTTACATGTGAACAAACGCTGCTGTTCTGTCAAGATCAGAGCGTGTGCATGCAGAAAATGAAAAGTGAACGCTGGAGCTATAGGCCTCCATCTCCCTGCATCTCTCTCCTGCCTCCTGCAACATTAACTGTCCTATCGCAGGATAATGGAGGGGAAACCAATGCAGTGTTCAAACAGAGCAATGCACCGCCTCCTTAGCGTGTGAGCATGTGAGAAAAAGATGACATTCGGTGCATATTTAGTTAAGTGTTTGCTGCTGTCTGTGAATAAGCTTGCTGCTGTTTTTGGGTGAAAAAAATGAAAAAGGAGAGGAGGGGGAGAGGGGGAGAGGTGGAGAGATTAAGTGCCCTGGGGAGTCTGTGTGTGTTGGTGTGTGTGTGTGTGTGTGTGTGTAAATGTACGTGTGTGTGTGTGTCGCACACATGCATGCATCACAAAGCCACTGCCTCTAAATCATGCAACAGAAGAGGCGCAAAGATGGAAAAGCTGCACTCCCAGCGATTCCCTGTGGGCCTGCAGGGGAGGCAGAAGAGAGGAAACAGGGGAGAAGGGGGAGCCGGTTATGCTTCTACACTTTAACAAACAACCCATAAAACGTCTCACAGCCGTCGGGGAAGAGAAGTGGAGGGATGGGGCAGAGGAAAAAAAAGAGAAGGGGCATCAAATGTATATAGAGGGGGGAAGACGGATGAGGCCAACTGGGAGAGAAGTCAAAGAGCAATGTAATGACAACAAAAAGCCCAATGATAAAAGAATAATAGCCGCCTCCACATTGCGTAAGCCCATGGGACGAGGGGTTAGCTTTATAGACGGAACACACGCACACACTCCTACAACGCACACTTAAACAGCTCCCACTTTAGGGCACGACTTGAACATTTCACAAACACAATCAGGCTCACCGCGTACTCAGAGAGCGTCCGATTTCCCCAAGGCCCACAGGACAAAGGA